ACGAAAATGTCACGAATGCGATGCTCCCTGTTAAAAGCATCTTTGCGAATTGGCGAGACACGGTTTTTTGTGGAAAGGCTGCTGAAGAAATCGTTGCAGACGAAAGTAGATGACTGGGACATTTTGACTATTTTTATTTAAAACTCAATGTGTATTGCATTTAGGGCAGAACTCGTGTAGTTGAAAATAGTTTCTGCTTTATAACGTAAAATAAGTCTTGGCGTTCACACGTAACAATAAGAATGGCTTCTGAAGGTTCTCTTGAAAGAGAATAACCTGGCGGTTGCTTTTCAAAATACTGCTAATACAGTAATGTTATTATCGCACCAAATTATCCTTTCTTTTTATTACATCTGAAAATATTTTTTAGGTGACCCGCCTATACCGTCCAAAAATAATCAAACGAAAGACGTTTTCTTAACTTAAAAATTATATTTAAAAATGAAAATATAAATATTCATACTTTCTTTAAAAATTAAAATATGCTGTCATTTATTATAATTTATCTTTATTTTTATAACTATCAGAAAGTTTATCTTCTTTTCGGCGTACGTCCATTTCAAAAGATGCTTTTTTTAATATTGTATATTTCTTCAGTGCGAAGTTGGGTACGCGACATCACTCAAACGACAACGGGCGACCGTACATGTACATGACATGATAAAAACACCTGAATTTACGGAAGAAGACACCCCTCTAAAGGATTTGTTGTTTCTAACACAAAGGCTGAATTGTTTCATGAACAATCTTCCTTGTTGTTTTGGCCCCGATCTATCAGTCTCATCTAAAAAGCATTGATAACAATCGTTTGACGCAATTATTATACATTTTTAACTATTTTCTGATAAATTCATGATGAAAGCTTGCGTACCAGTGACTAAAATGGGTACAAGGCAGATCAATATATCAAGAAGCCATCTGCATAATCCGAGTTCTGTTAACTATTCTTGCAAACTTAAGGAAAATAAGCAAGCTGCAAGCAAGTACCAACATCTCAAGAAAACGTGCACAAATAGCACTTCTCCACATAGTAATCTACCGACGTAGGAGGCTCAGGGTATCAATTGATGTGACGCTGCTGCAGATGTTGATTGTGATGAAATATCACAGTCACCTGCATGCACATCACGAAAGGGAGTAATATCCTTAGAAGTAGACGCGCCCGGAAATATTAGCACACCAATCAATCAATCAATTATAGATTTTGTAAATGTTCTTTGACGTTAAATAAATTAAATATCCCACTGTTGTATGGGGGAAGAGAGAAGTCTTTTTATTTTGTCACGTCTCTATGTTGTTCGATACTCACTCATCGCGGAAAATGCTTTATGTAAAAGTCGCTATTATCAATAAAACTGGAATAATAGCACTGTTTCGAAATCAGGTCAATTTCTCCCTTTTTAATTTTCTTCTTCTACTTCTTCTTCTGCTTCGTCTTCGTCTTCGTCTTCTTCTTCGCCTTCGTCTTCTTCGTCTTCTTCGCCATCTTCGTCTTCTTCGCCTTCTTCGTCTTCTTCGCCTTCTTCGTCTTCTTC